AAGGGAAACATCCATGTGAGAGAGACACAGCTTTGCCTCCCGCACACATCCTGACCAGGGCTGGGGATCAAACCTGCAATCCAGGTATGAACCCTCGACTGGGAATCAAACCCGAGACCCTTCAGTTGTGTGGGCCACTGACCACCACCAGCCAGGGCCAGAATACCTTTTCCCTTTATCTTCTCGGGGCTAGCTCCTCTCTTCAGAGTCATTCTCTGAATACCTACCTACTCCTTCCCCACAGTCACTCTCTATCCTATTTTCTTGTCTATTCTATTTTCTTGTTAATTCCCCCACGGGGAGGCACTCATTTGAATGGGCATGGCTCCCCGCAATTAGAATGAAAAGCAGATACCCCAGTGCCCTAGCACTCCATAAATATTTGTGAATGAATGTGTTATCTCTAACCTAACCACGTTTAAGAGCTCCAGACTCCTGTCTGTCCAACTACCTACCCGGTGTGCTCTACGAGGGGGTACACAGATACCCAAGACTAAATCCGTACAAACCTGAAGCAGTGTCTCCCTAGTCCTATTTGCCTTTCCTCCGTTCCTGCCTCGGAGAATGTCATGACTATCGACCCAGTAAAGCAAACTGGAAACCAGGGAGCCACTCTTGCCCTTCCTCCTCTAGTCCCTGCACCCAGTCAGTATCCTACCCCTGTTGAGTCCACCTCCTTAGCATTTCTTGAATCCACATGCTTCTCTCCTTTCTTATAACACCAATGTAATTGACGGGAATGATTCTAACCTTGTCTAAAGCTAGTCTACCTTCATCTGTGCTCCACATCATGGTCACAGAGTTCATGCTGAAGGCCAATCTGACCCGCTCACTCTGGCCTAAAGCACTTCCATGGCACCTTGTTGCCCTCAGGTCTTATGGTTCTGAGCTTAGCTCTGCCGTCCTTCTGGCTCTGGCCCTAGTGTAACTCCCTACCAACTCTCCAACCACACCAGTGGTGCGGCTCATTGGAACTCCTCAAAATATAGGCCAAAATAGAGAAAATCATATCTTTTTAAGGTAG